TTGCACACTGCCAGCTTCCTTTGCTAGAGAATCAAAGCTCAGGGGGTAGTGCTTTCTTTCAGTTCCATACCAGTGCAGGCGTGTGACATGCTTATATTGTCACAGCTTCACAAAAGTGTCATCCTTGTGAACAGGGCAAGCAGAATCTGGGGTACATCCATCAAAGACTAGTGTTTAGCAAGGCAACTTATTTATTTGGGTGCTGGGGAGGGACTCTTCATTAGGGACTGTAGTGACAGGACAAGGGGTAACAGGTTAAAACTTCAACAGGGGAAGTTTAGCTTGGATACAAGGAGGAAATTCTTTCCTGTTAGGGTGGTGAGGCACTGGAATGGGTTGCCCAGGGAGGTTGTGAATGCTCCATCCCTGACAGTGTTCAAGACCAGGTTGGACGAGGCCTTGGGTGATACGGTTTAGAGTGAGGTGTCCCTGCCCATGGCAGGGGGGTTGGAACTGGATGATCTTAAGGTCCTTTCCAACCCTAACAATTCTATGATTCTATGAACTTTAGCTGCTGAGTAGTTTTAACTGAGCAATTCATCTCTGCTCTTCAAGAATATCCCATCCAATATTTAAACTGGGATTTCCTTACAGCTAAACTGGGCTCCCTGTATCCAAGAGGGAAACTTCTGTTTGCACAGTGAAATGGAAATGACCTTTCCTAGCTTGTTTGTAAGTCTCACAAATTCATTGGATTTCTGCATTTCTAAGCATTCTGCTCAGGAGAGGGGGCAAAAAAAGCCCTAGCAAGATCTGGCAGGGCTTGGCCAGCCAGCTCACAGGGTGATTTTCAACTGAGGATGGCAACAAGCCTCCCAAATGGAGAATGTTTAGCTGATATATATCGCCACAGCTGCAATTTCAAAACAGAAGAAGGACAGTTGTGTACATTGGCCTCCTAATTGAAGCCTGTTCTAACATCTGCCAAAGTATGTTGTGTGTCAACACCCTCACCAGCTTCCCAGCCAAAAGGAGGGTGGGAGGGGAGCTACAAACAGGGAACTTTTCATTTATAAAAGCCCTTCCTTTCACCAAAAGAGCCTTATAAAAAGTAGCCTCTATCTAGATCTCCATTTAATCAGTGGCATGCAGAACAGAGGAACTGTACACTTGCCAGCATGGCAAAAGGATGAAGTTACCCTTTCAAGGCACAGTTTGGGCTTATGTTTCTCCTAGCAAGAAATGAAAGGTTTAGGAACAGGTCTCATACGCTGTGCTGATTCATGTAGCAGTGCAGACATACACAGCTATTACACTCTTCTAAGTAACATACTTGCAGATAACAATAATTCCTACTGTGCCACCCATCTCTGAGCACTGAGCTTTTATTCCTGTCCCCAGGAACAGGGGTGCACTAGGAGTTACGGTGCCACCCCCTAGCAAACACACCAAGCCTGCCGGGGTTAGCCACTTCTGATGGAAAATGACATGATTTCTGATTAATGAAGTTACAAAACAAACACTAAACCTCAACTCAGACTGGGGAGACTCTGCCCCAGGACCGGGTAATGAGCAGGAGCTCACTAGTTCAGGGTGCGCTTTTCCATCACTGTGGTGCATGGCGCTTAATATTGGTTTTCTCCTTCATTGCAAAACAATCATTCACCTTTTCTCTCCACCCCACCCTGGTCCCTGTAGTGCTTTGGGGCAAGGCAGTCTTGTTTTGTTGTTCTGAGTGAAGTTTAGCACAATGAAGCTCTGAACTCAGCTGAGGTCTTACTATGGGAATAAACACTAAGTGACTGGAGTGAAAGAGTAAGCAGCAATGACAACAAGGACTAAACAATCTCCATTTATTTAAACAAACTGGAGATGGGGGAATGCAGGCGTGGTGATATTTTTGCCTGTTCACTTTCTTATGGAAAGGAGTATATTTTGTCCCTCTCAACCTCTCAGATTTACACAGGAAGATTTGGGAAGATCTCTTAGGCCAATAAAATAACATTGCAATTAGAAGTAAGTCAAAGTGCGATGCTCAAAGCAACAACAGAAGCATCCTAGCCCATAAAGGTCCTGAAATGGATAGCGTGTAAACAGGAACTAAGGAGAACATCCAAAGATGTGTAGTGATGATGAACCTGCATAGGAAGTAAGGCAAGCGTGCCCTTGCATGCAGTCAGGGCTCAGATGGATGTATAGCTTCTTTGCAACACCAACCTGGTTGTAAGGTTCTGGATCTAACCAGAGGCTGTGCAGGATGATAAAAGATGTAGAGTTTCATGAATTCTACAAAATAAATCTTTTCTCCTAGGAACTGTTTGGCTGCAAGTAGCTTTGCACTGAAGTTTCTCAGATCAATGGTTCCAACTCCAGGAGCAGTCTCCTTACATGGATCAAGATCATTGATTTCACTGGAACTTGGGCAAAGCTGCAGCATCTACAGCTGGGACATGGAAAGTTCCTTGTCCAGAACACATGGGGAAACATAAGGAATGGTCCTTCTGCAATGCTCAGGGGGTACTGGAGGAGTAAAATGGTAGGGCAGGAGAAACATCAAGAGGAAAGAAAAGCCTACAAGACAGTAGCGTTCCTCCTTACACGCTGTACACCATTCACAGTCATCTCTCCCAGCTGCCAAAGAGCCAAATCTCAGTCTTTCATCTGCTCTGAGTGCAGCTGCCTGGGAACTCAGTTGGAGTGAGCAGACTGGAGGTGATGAGAAAGGCAGTCCTACCTTCTTACCCGGGGAGCGGATCAAAATGAAGCGGTTCTTCCTTTTGAGTAGCGCTCGCACCTCCTGGCACTTGTCATAACTCTCCAGTTCCACTGTTTCTATGCACTTCTGCTCATCCTGCAGAGAGGGAATGAAACATTATGAATAGAAGCCATTGAAATCAATCATATACCATCAAACTCTGCATGTCTTCCTTTTGCATCTGTTTAAAAGCTCTTCTGCCTTAAAAATAACCTGCGTGCAGACAGCAAGCCCCCATAAATCAGGCTGGCATCTCACTAAGGAAACACCCTAGTCTGTAAACTACAGGACAATTTGCAGCTAGAGGTCCACAGTGGCCAAGCAAATAACATGTTGTGGACAGTAACACTACCTCCTGCTATCTCTGTTGGGATCTGCAGCCAAAAGTGAAACTCCTTTCTTCCTACAATGAACACAGGAGATGTTATTCTGGTTTTTCACAGGGAAGATGACACAAGTATCATCATGGTCCAGGCAGCCCTCTAGGATGCCAGAGGCATAGTGGAGATAAGAGGGGAGCCCTGCTACCACAGAGCTAGAGCAGGCTGGTCCTCACACACCGAAAAGGTCAGCAGAAGCCACGTGCAACTGGGACACCCTCCTCTTGCAGCCACGTTTTGAGCTGCCCAAGTGCTTAGGACTGGAAATACAGTCCCATACAGCCAGCAAAACTGCGAGGGCCAGTGTCTCAGTGGGGTATATTTATCTCTGGTGTATCTCCACTGATGACTGCCGGCCACGTCTTGGCTCGCTTCTCCCAGTAACATAACTAAAATTCCACACATGGTGCGTGGCTCAGTTCAGCTGCACAGAACCATCCGTAATAGGAATCGCAGCGTAACACTGCGCACACTATGTTCTTCATGTCTCAGTAGCCCAGAAGAGACCAAAGCTCCCCTTTGCTAACCATTAGACGAATAATCAGTGAGAATCACAGAGCAGTTCTTGCTCCAGTCAGCACACCTCATGAACCACCATTACCACCCTGAATTAACACCACTGGCCGTGACCATCCCCAGCCCAGGCTCTGCTCCCAAGGCAGCTTCTCATACCCGTCTGAGTTTGTATTTAGCAATTCCTGTAGCAGAGAAGGGGGTGTGGGATGAGGAAACGCATCGCAGCCAGGAAGCTGCTGCGTGGCTGGAGGCAGGGAATGGAGAGTTCAGAGGGAAGTGGGCTGCAGGGAATTTCCTCCCTTTACCGCCTGACATTTAAGTCGCTGTGCAGAGCTCAGGCTGTGTTTAGTTTGTTTTAACCCTCCTTCTATCTGGGGATGGGGGCCTGGCGGAGCTGATGTCGGAATGCGGAGCGAGTTCAGAGCCACTGAGGGATGTCTGGATCTAATTTAGGTTTATTGTTTTAATGACATTACTGTTTATTTCATTTAACACTGAGTAGGTGAACGTGACCAGAGAACCGGGAGAACACATACGAGGAGGAGCAGCTTAATCCTGCCCAAACCTAAAACCCAGCAGATAAAATCCTGCTGACGATACCGAGCCCTTTGAAGGCACAAGGCTCCTGCTGCAATCCTGCTGTCGCAGTGTCACTGCAAAAGGACCGGGATGGAAATAACCCCTCAGCGACCAACAAATGACAGAGAAGGGTGAGGTCAGGAATACATGCCTCGGGGATGGGTGATCTCATCCTGGCCTTTGGTGCACGACCGCCCACATTACAGCACTGCTGCACGGCCGGTGCGGTTACCAGCCCCGACGTGAAAGTTTGCTGAGCTCCTTCATCTCAGAGACCTGAACTTCTCAAGTTATCCTCTTTAGGGAGGGCGGGGAAGAAAGCAACCAGGGAAAGAAGAAAACTCCATGTCTGAGGCAAAGCAAAAGCATCTGAGTTCAGGGAGCACCAGAATGGGGCTTTTGTCTCTGTTTTACCCTTGGCAAGCAGCCATCCCCTCTATGTGACCCTACCTGGGTCACAAAGAGATCCTTTATGTTTGTCCTGCACCACTAAGATAAAGACTGAAAGACCCAACCCGGCTGCAGATCTCCAGGTGCCCTTCAACCTCCGGGGACCAGGAGGATACTCAGCATCACACAGAGACAAGGCTGCTTCCAGGGTCCTGTTCCAACACAGGCGTGTTAGACACATGTTCTGGACCAGCTCCTGCTCCATTTGGTCTCTAGTGTCCCAGAGAAGTTAAAGCAATCCTTTTATGCCATCCTGAGCCACAAATGTGTTCTTACTCAGTGGTCGCACCTCCCTGCAGCATACAGCTCACAGTTGTCCCTCACCTGATCAAGGCAGGGATTCCCTTCAGACTACCTTTCTCTTTACAGACTTTAGGGCTTGTTTTTTAAACTGCTTCTGTGCTTGCTGTAAGGGACAATCAATAAGACACTTAAAACCCTGCTACAGAAACCCCTACATTCATGATTTAATGCAGAAACCCAATTCCGTTAGCTATTCACGGAGCAGATGCTGCGACTTAACATGTATCTGTCTGTAGGCTTGGCCCTTAAGAAGAAAAATACCAAACACCTAAAAACATTAGAGCATCAACCAAAGAACCACACTAGGCAAACAGCTGCCTTAATGAGAAGCTGATAAAAAGGGGGGTAAAGACTCACTGAAACTTGTATTTCTATGAAGTATAATTTCCAGCAAAGGCCTCTTCAGTGACCCACATTCATAGGCTGTGACCCTCCGTTCAGTGCACAGTGTCTAGACTGCCTGAAATAATAATTCACTTCTCTACCCAAGGAGCTCAAAGTGTTTTAACAGATCCCTTTTGGGTATGTATTGCTTTTACCAGGGGCAAAATACAGATGTTAACGGCATGACTGTTAAATGCAGAGTGGATCCTCTGGTCTCTAGAAGACTCTTTGTCTAGTGGGGTTTTAACCTGTCAAATGATGCACTTCAAAAAATCCCCAAAACGACAAAAAGCCCAACTCTAAAACCTAAATATAAACCACTGTTTAAGGGGGGAAACCCCCAAACCCAAGAGTGATGCTCTCTGATCTATGGAGTGATGATACTGATCTGTGTAGTCTCTCTCCACAGGATTGCCTGTTCTTCCCCTGCTCGCTGGAGCTTTGCAGGGCCTGATTTTGATTCTGGCAAGAATATGCAGAAACAAGAAGAGAAAAAATAAACCCTTTAGAAAATAACCTGCTTGGTTCTGCGTGGGCCTGCTGCACGCATCCTGCCTTCCCAGGGACTCCTGAGCAGCTTCTGAAGATCCGAGCATGCCAGAGCTGTAAGTGTTCGCACTGATGGCTCTTTTCCTGCCGCTGGGGTATGTAATATCATACAAACCTCTTGCTTAACTGAGCCTTCACTCATGTGAGGGTGCAGAAGTAGGGTGCTGCAGATGGAGGCACAGCAGATAAGAAATGTATCTCCCTTCATTTCACATCCGCTGAAAGAAACCTGAAGCCAGGTGGGGTGACTTTCACCCCCCATCTGCTCCAGGTAATACAATAGCCATTTGCAATTCTCCTTCATAAACCAAACCCAAAGCCTGACTAACAAATGTAATAGGGAAAACACTCTCCCAGGACAGGTCAGGAGCACATTCCAGGAGATTGCTGTTGATGAGGATAAATACAGTACTTGTGTTCTGCTCAGACTGTACTTTCTGGTAACACGGTACATTACTGCCTGCATCTTGTGTTGGCCATCCCCACTGCTCTTGTTTTGCACACACAAACCTCAGCTACAAGTTCAGCCAGCCTCATGCAATTGCATAGAGAAACGTGCCTGCATTAGAAACAACTGTTGAAGGCAACGTTAGCACCTCTTCATGAGGGGCCTCAACACATGAAGGGCTCCAAGATGAGGGACCCATAAAAGCACAATGCGTCCAAGTCATTATCTCAGTTCCTGGAAATCTGATGGGCTCAGACCAGCTGAAATACTCAGCCTCTGAACCCGCCCTCCCACATGGAAGCTGACCTCCCTCCTGTTTAACCCACCTAGGTCTAACTCTAGGACACACATGGGAAGATGCTTGTATTCCTGTTGCCTGAAGCTTTATCTCCTTTCTTTTTCTAGGGCTCCAATTCAGCAAGCACTGAGCAATGCCAGTTTAAAACATTTCAGCCTGAGGGTGGTCTGGGATGCTGTGTTTGTCTTCAGGGTCACACAAAGCCAGCTTTCAGGTTCCACAAAGGTATGTGGAAAAGGTCCACCAGGAAAAATGGCAGCTTGAACTCCAGAAATAAAACCCACACTGCACCACAGCCTCTCCTTTGACACTGGCCCTTCTCATCTCAAAACCTTAGTTCCCCAGTTGTCAGATGGAGACAGCAACACTGCCCTAACTCATGTTAAAGGAAGATAAATACAGTCATAAAGGTGAACTGCCTCAATTCTGTAGCGATGGGACCCCTCCTGAGAGCAGAAAATTGCTATTTCCTTTAGTTCCCCTGTAGTAAGTCTGCACAATCACATGCTATCCTATTGTGCTACCAGATAATTTTGTAGCAATTTCCTCTCTTAGCCATTTGACTTCACTGTAAGCCAGTTTAATAGCCTATAGATATTAACATGATCCCTTATTTACAATAATGGGACCTTGTAGCTACTGTAGCTTACAGATGCAATTTATTACAGGAAGTTACCACAATCCGCAGGCTACCAGAAAATGTTCTGTCTGGTTGTTACAAATGCCATTTTCCTTGTTTAGATAATAAAATAACCCTTTAAATGATTGAGATTTTTCCTTCTTCTGAACATCTGTGAAAATTAATCTTACTTTAAAAGCCTCCTTTTCCCTTGTGGTAACAAAAGCCTCCATATATCTTGTTTTTAAAGGCATGCCCTTTAAAAAACCCTACGTCATGATGATAGAATTTGAATCTCTGAGTTCCTGAAGCTTCAGCTGGAGTCAACAGGTATCTGGGACACTGGGAAGCAGTCTGCAGAGCATCAGTGGTTTGCAGGACCAGGCTGCAGCTCTCTGTGTAAGAGAAACCCTTTCCCTGCTTCCAAGCTGCTCATCACCTGACAGTGACTTCTCATTCCATTGTTCTTGCACTCTTCCTGCCATTTCACAACTAAGAACAAACGCCTCCAGAAAGCTCTGGGATTTGGGAAGAGCAGGAGGGTTCAGTGTAAGGGAGGAGGCAACACCCTTTAACCCAAACTGTGTTTAACAAATCTTTATTAGGCAATAGTGTGTTTTTTAGAAAAGAGAACCAAAGTCACTGTCAGTCCTGGTCCTGAAACCATCGCAGCAATGCAGCTGCTGAAACATTTCCCCATTCTTCTTCCCTTGACAAACTGCACACGAAGCTTCACATTACTCTGGTCTTCTATCATCTTGACACCCATGAGTGACCCAGATCCCCTTGTGTCAGACACCACACAGACACGCGGTCCTTGTGCCGACCACGCAGTGACAAATCCTCCTCCATCCTGATGCACACACAAACTGCCAGCCACCATATACCAGCAGGGCTTAGTCTGACCCACCCCTAATCTCAGATGGTTGTAGCTTGTGCTCTGCACTCTAATTTCTAACTCTGGGGCAAACTCTGCTCTTGCAGAAGCCCCTTCTAACCCAGGAGCCAAGGGAAGAGCTCCCTTTGCAGCCCAGCAGGACCAGCCCTGCATTTTTCATTCTTCTAGCATGAAGATGCAGGACATATTTGGCTTGGCTCTTATTTCTCATTTGATTGGAAACAGCTCTAAATGAGGCCATGAACTTAAGGCATGCAATTTATCTAGGGAAGTCCAGGACAAGTCTCCCAGGGGTCCTTCGCTCAGTACTGGCTCAAGTAAAAGGAAAAGATGAGCCAAATCCAGACCGTGTCTCTGCTTAAGAAGGACAGCAAGCACTCACAATCTCACCCTGCATCCATCAGAGACTCTGATGAGCCTGGCTAGCAACAATTTGAGCTGCTTGAGGGGTGCCAAACAGCTGCAGAGTTGCCTGCCATTCCCTCAAGCAGCAGGTGGGAAGTCAGCCTGCTACAGTCCACTTTTATCCTTTAAACTCCAAAACCACACAGCGCATATCCTGCTTCCGCCCCAAGCTTCACTCCCTTTGCCTTCTCACAGGATGTCCTGCCCCCATTATTCTTCTTTGGCAATGGAACTGTCAAAATATTTACTGGCTAAAATATTTATACTATATAATATAACCTAAAATGCAGCTGCTGTCTCTTCTTTACAGCATTTACTCTTCCTGGAGATAACTGGAGAAGCCCTTTTGAAAGGAATGAGCTGGAGAGTAGAGTGAATAACACAGGAACGTGTCTCACCAGGGGCCTGGTCCTGCCCCTGCTCAAGACCTTCAGCTGTGACCGTACCTCGTCCTCATAGACCACGAGCTGTGTTTTCCGTAGCTGGATGTAACGATCCTTCCATAATCCCAGGAGCCCCCCGCTGCTTTTCTTAATCCAGCCGTATTTCTCTGCGGTCGGAGCAGGCTTTGGTTTCTCTGAGACTTCCTCCTTTGTGTCCTGCAAGGACAGAGAGGAGAAGGAATTACAGCAAAAGCACTTTCCATCCATTTAATCAGGGTCCTCAGAAAGCCTGCCCACAGAAGACCTCAGCGCTCACCGAATGTGGTCCCTCCCCACCACATCACTAGGGAAAACACTGGCATCTTCCAGAGGAAAACTCAACAAGATCCCATAGGATCAGGGAGTGAGGATGGACTCTGGCTACCCTGGGGGACACTGCTGAGATGGCAGCAAGACCACCTTGCTCCTCTGCTTCCCCAGTGGCTCTGCTCCACTCTCTGTGCAGGTACTCCCTGCTCAACCAAGTGCACCTTGAAAACTAGCACCTTCCTCTCCGCTTTGCTCCTCCAACTCTCTGATGAATCCCAGTGGGATGGATCCTGCTGGCATCAGTAGCAACACTCATATTTTAGCCCACAGCCACTTCTGTAAATGTCTCCTCTAGGTCTCTGTGTTTGGACAATGCCTTCAAACCAAATCCCATGGGCAAATCCATGGCATAGGATAGTTTGGGTTGGAAGGGACCTTAAATATCATGAGAGCCAAGACTTCATCAGAGCCACACTAAAACATTCCCAGAATGCTCCTGTGTGGTTTGCAGGCAGAGGAAAGGACCAGCAGAGAAGGGAACACCAAGAGAGGGGTGGTTTTAACTGCCCTGCCTTTAGGTCCTTGCTGTTTGTCCCAGCCTGCTCTCGCCTGTCTGCAGCAGCATGGGGAGCCCCAGCATCCTGTGCTGGGAGGCTGCTGCCTTTCCAGGCCTGGTAAAAAACAGAAGATGGATAACTTCCCTGCTTTGAAAAACATCAGAAATATCCAATATCAATATTCACGTCAAACAGAGACAGGAAACCTAAGCTGGGAGCAGGGGCTGATTAGCTGACTGCCTTCACCAGCAGACTTGGCTAAAGCTGAGTTTTCCTCCTCCCCAGTGCACTGGAAGAGCCTCTGCAAAGGCAAGATCCCCGTTTCCCCTCCCTTGGAGCACCCTGCTGCTCCCAACACCCCACAGACCCTCAATAAGCCTCTTTCCCTCGAGCAAGGCGAGGAGAATCCCTCGCTGAGCCAAATCCCCTCACACAAACACCTCGCCAACCTTGATACTTGTAAGGAGAGGCCAACCCCAAACCCTCCAGCCTCCTCTCAGGAAACCCACTGACTCTTCAGACTTGGTTTCCTCCATGTCCCCGTCTATAACAGCAGCAAATCCTGCTGCAGAAAGCCAGCACACCAACCATCCCCAAACAGCCCTCAGTGGCTGCTGAATGAAACCTTTTCTTATAGGAAAAAAAACCCAAACAAAACAAACTGGACTGGCTGGAGCTCAGACATCATGTTTCATAACATGAGGAAATCCCACATGCATGGAAAGGAGTCAGCGCTGGATGCTCCCATGGCCAGGACAGAGCGAATGTATCAGATGAGCTCCAAAAACTGGGAGGAGAGCCTTGCTAACAAATCTCTTCCCATGCACTAGATTCCCAATGAACACACCCTTGGAGAGCAGCTTTGCTGGCTCCAAAGAGGGAGCTCACGCCCGTAAAAGGAGGAAAAACACATTAAAGACCCCATGTATCCACGTTTATTCTGATCCCTGCTAAGAGGCTTGGCTTTGCAGGTAGGCTCAGGAGCAGACTGGGAGCAATACACTGAAATCATGTATCACCTAAAAGAAAACCAGGCGGAAACCTGCAACATCCTTGGTGCCATTTCTAGCAGTTATTTGTGTTAGAAACAGCCACAATACAGGATGACAGAGCACCAAGGAGTTTTCCGGGAAGTGAGGGGGCCTGTGTGGGGGTTTCTTTAAACTTGACTTTTTAGGTTGCCAGGAAGTTGTATTCTGTTGTGATCTGCGACTTCAGCAACTGCTGCACAAATATAGACCTGCTGGTTTCCTGAGCGAGCACCCTTTTGATGTCATTTTTAGATGGGTGAGCATGGACTTTAACCTCCCTCGGAGCAGTTCTGCATGGATGTAGCTGTACTAAGAGTTTATTCAAGTGACTCCAGACCAAGAGCTGCCAAAATGTTCTTACTCCTTGAAGGTTCTTTTTTTTTGCTTGGCAAATGAATTCTCGCTGTTCTTTTTCCCCACCTGGCAGAAAGGCTTTCTGAAATCACATGGCAAATACATCTATCCCTGGCCTCTCCAGGTGCTCTGCAGAGTGAAAACTACTCTGTCTCCTCTGGGTTTAAACTAAAAGTACCCGCTGTGAAGACACAGCACTTAACAGCTACCTCTGCAAAACCAGCGTGTCCCAGTAACAGGTTTTGTTGGAGCTGCACTTCCACACAAGGCAGAGCAGCAAAGCTAGGGCAGAGCTTGTCTGGCAGCCTCTGAGGCTGCCTGCTCCCCATGGGCTCTCTGGCCTTCCGAGGACATCACCTCTCCTCTGTGACACTGCAGGGTGGCTCTGCAGCTCACCCTGTCCACAGGCCACCCGAGAGCCCCGGCTGGAGCATCCACATGGGGGATCCGTGACTCTGAGCCTCCGCCTGCCCCAGCTGAGCAGCCCAGGAGAGGGAAAGTGAGATGAGATGGAGAGTGCTGGGCTCAGCAGATGACAGCAGCCACAAGGAGAGGGCTCTGTCCCCCGCGCTGCACAGGAGTCACCTGAGCTGGAGCTGCCTCGTACCTGCTCACTACTAGTCCTCACTACAAGATAGATGTGACAGAGCCATCTGTGTAAAAGCCCAGATGATGCAACCTGTTTGTTCTCATGAAAGCAAGAAGAGTCTTGGAGATGGTGCCTGACACCTTTGCAGACTATTTTTATGCCATCACTGCCTGGAATTGGCACAGGAAGGTTGGCCAGGGAATTGCACCAAGAGCAGGGAATTGTGCCCACCATTCTCAAATGGTGCAGCCCAAACCAGAGCATGGCACAAAGAGATGAGTTGCTGTGGTTATACCTCCTCAAGCATAGCTGAGTTATTCAGCTATTCAGCTACTCAGCTATTCCTTCCACAAGAAACACCAAGATACCCTTCCCAGGATGCTCTTGGGCTGGATTCATTCCTGATGCTGGTGTAAATCCATGAGAAGAAACCCCTTACATCAGCTAAGTGAGCCAGTGTAAATGAAGGAAGGACTGAGTTATCCCAACACTGGCTCATGCCAAAGGAATCACTCCCCAAACCAATCTGCAGGAGCCACTTTTGCAGTTTATACCACGATGGCATTTGAAGTGAGACATGAGTTTCAGACTGATGATGAAGAGATGACAAATCAGGGGGACAGGATGGCTTTTTATGTGCGTTAGGCAGTTTTTTCTCCTCTCCCCCTGTACTTTAAGGGCCCACAAGCCCACATACTTTCCATGTTTTCCAACACAAAATCAACCCAACAGTTGGATCACGGTAATGCTTTTACATGTAGGGCACAGAAGCATCTCACCCAGTTACTTTGCTTAAAGTGAGCAACTCCTGTGTCACACACTCCTCTCTAGCAAGGCACTGATAGACACCTCCCAGGAGGACACAACCTCCCTCTCCAGACCTCCACTGTTTTCCTCCCTTTCCACGTCCCCTCCAAGCCCGGAACTGCTCAGATCCATGTGAAGCTTGGGGAATGGCATCAGACACACACACACACACCACCCAGCATGCAAGCACTGGAAGACTCATTTATCATTACTGAAGAGCGGATGGTGAGATGGTTGCTGGATATTGGGGTGGGTGAGAAGCCCCTCTGGCCACTGGCTGCCAGCTGGAAGCAGTTTCTCTGCTGTGGATTAATTTCATGGATGCCGGTGGATAACAGCTCTAGGTTGCTACCGGCTTGGGCTGCTTTGCCGTCTCCCTGTTGGTTTAGGAAAGCTCTCATTCTTGCCACAAAATGTTGGGAGCTGAACTAACGGGAAAGAGGGGTAACAAGCCACAGCTACCAGCATCACATGCACTAGAGGCTGAAGTCCCGCAGCAGACCGCCCTACAGGGAGCTTGCTTTGTGCGTGAGCCGTAAAACCTCATTTAAGGAAAGGAAGCAGGAATAATTATATGGCCAGACAAGGGGAGAAAACGACCTGTTCAACTCACTAACAAATCTGTGGTGTCCTGATCCACACGGGGATGGATTACCGGGGTGTGAGCCCATGGACGTGTAAATCTACATGTGTAGAAGCACTGCTGCCCTTCTCTGCGTTAAACCCGTCCCAGCCAGACACGGAGGAGGAGGACAGACTCGGGGAAGGCTGCTAGGTATGTGGCCATGGCCAAGCTTGCGGTCTGACCGAGGCCCAGCTCCAGTACGGAAGTACAACACCCCAGCAAGAGTCAGCAGAAGGTGGCCTGAGCAAGCGTGGCATTTGAACAAGCCCGACTCTGCCAGCACTCGTCCTCCCGCAGCGCCAGCGCTCGCCCGGCAGCCTCACCCGGCCGGCTGGAAAGTTTAAATCCCAAGAGCTCCCGGGATGCTCAGCCCCGGGCCAGGGCTGAAGGCAGCGGGGGGGCTGCTTGGGAAGAGGGACCCCCATCATCTCCGTCTCCATTTCTGCCCCCGCCGCCTCCCGCTGTCGGAACGGGATCGGGGATGTGGTCGGAGCGGTCCTCACGCCCCGTCCCGGCCGGCAGCGGCACCGAGGGGCTCCCGTCCCTTCCCGGGGGTCCCCAACAGCCCCGTCCCTCCTCAGGGGCTCCTCTGCACACCCCACCTCACCCCATCCCATCCCGTCCCGTCCCGTCCGGTCCGGTCCCGGTCGGACTCACTTGCTCCATGGCGGGCCGGGGCCGGTCGCTCCTCGCCGCCCGCTCAGGGGCTGCGCCGCCGCCCCGCTGCCCCGCTCGGCTCCGGGCAGGCGGGCATGCCGAGCCGAGCCGAGCCGAGCCGAGCCTGGACGGGAC